ATGTGGCAAACCAAATGATTTTTGCTTAGTGAATCTTACTTGGTTAGGTTAAGATCAGTGTAAAATTCACTCTATAGAGTACACCAGGGAAAAGGGAGAAACACACAAACACACACAACACAACACTTCTATAGACATTTTGACTGAGGGGTCCTTCTTGGTCTCATGCCTTGGGATGCCCTGTGTCAGTCATATGTTACTATGCACTCAGAAGGAAGAACACCGTAACCTCAACATACTTATCCCTCAAAACAGGCCTTGTCTGTTCCCAGCCCATGCAGATGCTCAAAGGCTCAGTCAAATAAAATGTATCATAAAGAAACAGCCATTCCAAGTCAGGACTCCTTGAGAAGGAAGAGGCGATGGCTCACGTTCAAATGAGGTGATTCATTTTACTATGTAGAAATTTTCCCGAAATTGCTATCTCCTATCTACTCTAGCACATCTATTGCCTAGATCTTAGGGATGCATATGTAACAGGTTACCATGGACAGGGCGGCATCGCTGAGATGCTTGGAAAGGTGTCCCGACTTTGAAAGACTCTGTGACTTTCTTGTAGGCACCATGGGGTAACAGTAGCCTCTGGAGGTACTGAAGATGTTGCCTCCGTAAGTCACCCCGGAAGTGGGTAATCTGGGGACAAGAATGGAGGCGAATCTTTGGCGTGGGGGAGGAGGCACTTACTCCTCACTTTGCTCTATAGAGAAAGGGATACAGTTGTTCCCATGACATGATGGCATGTGTGTCATAAGGACGTAGGCCAATATCTGGTGTCTCCCTGGCAACAACCATGAATACTGTGTCAGGAGAAGCGGATGCCACAGCGGAGGCTGCTGTACCCTCTGGTGCCTCTGGATGGTGTGAGGGCCCTTCGCAGTGCTTCCTGGCCCTCCTGCATTCACCTGTGGCCAGTTCCAGACACAGTGCCTGTTTCCGCCTCTAGCCCGAGGATCTGTCCTTCTCTGCCACCACAGGGGTACAGTTTGGAGGTTTCTATTTCCTGTACAGACAACCCTCAACCTGGGTTCTGGATATGAGGCAGAGAGAAGGAAATTTCACTTCTGTGGGATTCCTCCCCGAAAATGCACCACCTTAATCTAATCCTGAGAACATCAGACAAGTCCAGACTGAGGGCCAGTCTACAAAATAACTGACCAGCACTCTTCAGAAGTACCACACCTATGAAAGGCATGGGAAGATTAAGGAACTGTTGTAAATTGAAAGGATAGCACATTAAAGGCTGGCCAACTCTGAATGAAGTCTGAGATGCAGTTAAGCATTGTTCTAAGGTTAATTCCTTAGTCTTGGGACTGGTACCACAGTCCAGAAGAGGTTCAGAGTATTGCCAAGGCAGGGATCAGAATATAGAGAAAAGGATTTTGAAGCCAAAGAAGCTAAGAAAAATGAGAAGTTCTGAACTATGGGGGTCACAGCAGAGCTGGAGAATGATGGTGACAACAAACCCTACCTAACACTTAAGGTTCCAGGCACCTTCTTATGGGTTATATGTGCCGACTGGCCAACGGGATGGGTTTGATGCACTTTACACAGGAGTACAGTTACCAGAACCTGTGACTAACAATAGGAGGAACGAAGGAGAGGGAGCAACTCAGGAAGACTCCCAGGTTTCCCATTTGAGCGAGGGACTCCGCAGTGGTAATACCAGGCAGTGAAGTGGGAGGCACAGTGGGTATGGTGGGGAGGAAGAAGGTGCACAGCCCAGTGTGGGTTTGGTCACTAGGGACTGTGGGGCATCCAGGCGGGGATGTCTGGAAAGCAGTTAAACAATGACCTTGTGGTTCCTGGGTAGAGACCTGAGCGTGACTATCACAGAGGTGATGGCTCGAACTGATGGCATCACCACTGGCGATGGCATCACCCAGGAAGCAGGTATGAAAGAAAAAGAAGAGGGCTGAGATGGAAGACGGGAAAACCCAACATGATGGAAAGAGGGAGAGTATATGGAGAAGACCAAAAAGCAGGTGTCAGAGGTGGAGGAGAAAGAACCAGGACAGGATGAGGCCCACAAACCATTTGGCTGGGGAAGGTGCCACGTGAAGAGGAAGTGTGAATTGGTACTGATGACCTGGGCAGGAAAAGTCAGTGGAAAGATGGGGCAGATACAGGGAGTGCTAAATGCTCCTTTGAGAAGCTTGGGTGCAGAAGGAAGGCGGTAAAACACCTGGAGGGGACTCAAGGTCACAGAGGCCGCTCAAAACTCTCCAGGCCGATCCCTCCCCCAGGAGCTCCTAATATGTACTTCTGACTGCAAACTGTTTTTCTCTTCCTGGGTAACCCACCTACAGCTTTCCAGTGCATGTGTCCATCCTTACACCCTTACAGGTCCAAGTTTAAGTTCACAGAAGACGCATGATGTCCATAGTGAATCGCCTTTTCGACATGAAAGCTCAAGTCTGAAATAACCTTAATCTGGTCCCAGGTGACGCCCAGCTGGGCGCCGCACAGAAGTGATGTGGGGCTGTTCTGTTACCATTCCTGGAGGCTGCATGACTCCATGACCACCATGTGGGGTCTCAGCAACTCTTCCTTAGAAAGCCTCCAATGGAATGTGTCGTGACAGTTTCGGATCCTGACTGTAAGTCTGCTGGAGGGGTTAACAGCTGTGTCGCTGTGGGGAGGCTCAGTGAGGCCCACGGCTTCCCACACCTCCGTGTGCCAAAGCTTTTCCATTTCTAGTCTGTATTCAGTTAGAGTTTACCATGTTTAAATATGAACACATTAATATTAATATTGATGTTTGAGTACATCAGTTTAGCTTCCTAGAAATTACTAGATTTCGTATTAGCCATTCATTCACTCATTTAATAAATATTAATTTAGTGCTGGAGAACCTGGGTAGATAAATAAGATGGGGTTCTTTACCTTGAGCCCACAGGCATTTATATAAACAGCTATAAACAACATGGAGTCTTACGGTAAGAAATGTGTATGTGCCATACACGTGTGTATATATGTATACAGATTTGTATTTGTACAGTTCAAGTATTCCTTATCCAAAATGTGTGGGACCAGAAAAACCTGGTATTTTCCAGATTTGGGAAATCTTCCTATAGAGATACCTTAAGGATAGGATTCAAGTCTCAACACAGAATTCATTTGTGGTTCGCATACATTTGTGGTACTTATACACAGCATGAAGGGAGCTCTGAAAAACAGTTTTGGTGCCGCTGTGTTTCGACAGCAAGTCATCACAGAGGATCAGGTGTGTGGAATTATCCACGTGCACTGTCAGCATTTAAAAAGTTCTGGATTTTGAGGCTGGGGATTTAGCTCAGTGGCACTGCACCTGCCCTGCAAGTGCAAGGTTCTGAGTTTGATCCCTGGTACCGAAAATAAATAAAAAAAAAATAAAAAGTTTTGGATTTTGGATTTCTATAGTAGAGATGCTTAACCCGTATATGTGTGTGTGTGTGTGTATGTACATACGCCTGCATATATACACACATGCACATGTATGGGGATGCGTTTCCTCAGATGTGTTTATGTATATGGGGAAGATGAATGTCGCAAAGTATCTGACTGTCTCTTCTGGATGTGACTACACTGGGTTAAAAGGGAGGCATGTAAGACTGGAAGGATGAGCAGCAGTGATTTTCCCAAGGAGATAAAGGAGGAAGGGCTGTAGAAGCAGAAGGAAGAGCACGGCGAGAGCATCAGGGTATGAATATGCATGGCGTATGGAGTAACGTAGCAATGGAGGACATAAAAATAATAAAACCAACAATAAAAACAACAGTGGTTCCAGGCGCTTATTGGCATCACCAGGAGAACTTTTTATACTGCCGGAGGTGAGGGTGCAGACAGCTGGTGTTAGAATGGTGAGATGTTCTGAATGTTGTGCTAAGGAGTCTGGAAGGGGAACCTCTGACAGTTCTCAGGTAGGATTGGCAAGACTGGACTTGTGATTTGGAAGATTCCTCAGCTGGCTGCACAGGCAACAGAGCAGAAGAGGTGAGATGGGAGGCAAAGTTGGGAAGCTTTTGCAACAGGTAAGGCAAAAGCAAATCAGACAAGTGGAACTTCCAACAAGGGTGGAATGAGGAGAGATTTTTGAGGAAGAAATGGGCCCTGGGACACATGATCCACAAGACAGACTGTCATGGTGAGGGAGGAAGCACTTTTGGAAGAGTGGATGAACTCAGTCGAAGGGGATCCAGCTCAGACCTGGAGTATAGGGCTGGAGGGGGAAGTCTGGGGCAGAGATCAGAGGAGGAGCAGCGAGGGAACTCTCTTCATTCAAGATGGATTTGTCCTTGTTTTGTTACTGTGAAGCAACGCAAGGGTACATACCTGCCTGCACAGAGGCAACACATAGGTAGAGATACGTGTAGACCTGAACAGCACAGAGGTACATACTTACACATACTGTGACCCAGCCCAGAGAGGGGCACACACCCGAGTCCACAGACCATTGAGGGATAGATGCACACACTTCCAGATGACATGGAAACACACAGGCCCATGGAACAGACACACATCCCTAGGTCACAGAGGGACACACACACATACATGTCCACAGATCACAGGACCATAAATCACAGAGCGACAGTACATGTGTGCCCACAAATCATAGAGCAATACACTTACAAACAAATCACAGAAGGACACATACATACGTGTCTACAGGTCACAGAGGATAGACACACTCACGTAGTCCATAGGCCGCGCACACATAGCCACGGATCACAGGACACCCACAAACCCCACATGTCAATGCGCCTAGAGAGGCCACAAGTGCACAAGTGTCCAGACTGGGGGAGGCCTGTTTTCCAGTTATACGTCGGGCTTTTTCCATTTGCCCGGCAGATGACCCTGGACTTCTAGTGGGCGCAGGCCCATGTGGTTACCAGACTCCCTCTGCACCTCCTCCATGTCAAACTGATCCCAAAGGCCTCACTGCTCTGCCCGCTCCAGGTACACGCAGCACCCGCCTTGCCAGGACCCAGTGACCATCCATGCCACACTCAGCACGTTCCTACCGAAGAGCTTCTGCAGGACTTGTCCATCGTACAAATCTTCAGCCAGGTCTTTCACAATGATTCTCTCTCCAACCAGCACGTCATTGATCCAGTCAATTAATACCTCCAGAGAAAGAAGAAGAGTCGTGGGGTATTTTCATACAGACCAACTTTCAGGGGAGGGGATTTAGCTCAGTGGTTCCTTCGCCTGCTTCGCAAGCGCAAGGATCCAAGTTTGATCCCTAGTACCAAATACAAAAGAAACAAACAAACAAACAAAAAACACAATAGACCAGCTTTCATATCCCAGACAACAAAGATCAAAATAAACTGTTCTTTCAAAACAGTGGAGTGACTCACAAGACCCAAGTACCACAGGCAGGCAGGTGACGGTGCGAGACTGGAGGCCCTGTGTGTGTGCGTTGGCCCTCCAGGGGTCTCTGTTGATTTCTTCTGGTCTCATCGCTCTTTCCCTAACAAGCAACACTCTCAGTGCAGGGCTCTGAGTTACACAAATGGGTCGAAACCCACCCATTTGGGTGCCACCGTCATTGATGAGTGTGTGTGTGTTTCTCTGGCATCTGTGAATGTGTGTCCACCTGTTTGTCATCTAGAGATCTGGCACTAAGTCATCTACGAACTTGTGTCTGTGTAGCTCCATGATCCAGTTACCTTCCTGAGCTCCTGCTTCCTTATCTCCAAAAGCAGAATGAAAGTCTCTCCCATGTTAAGTGGTAGAAAAGAATTACCAAGGAACTTGATTGAAAGCAGATCTGATTCACATATAAAGCACCCTCCCACGAGGACAGTGGTGAGGTGGCTGCTGTAACCTCCATGCTCAGAAGGGCTGGTCGGCATGGAAGGAGACAGGCTTGCCCAAGGCCACAGAGCTCACAGCTAGAGTCAGCAGAGGGTCCCAGGCCTGCCAGCTTGAGAGTGTGTGTCTCCTGGCCCACAGCAGCCGTCACTAGCCGAGACCTGCATGTGCCAGGCAGTGAGTGGAGGCACTGTGTGTGATGTTCCATTTCATTAACACGTACAACACCCTTGGGAGGCGTGTGTCACCAGCTCCATTTTTCAGGTAAGGAAACAGTGTCTATACTGCTTTGCTTTTTAGTTTTCCTTTTTGTTGGCTAAGACAGTATTTATATATAAACAAATCGTCTTAGTCACTTTCCTTATTGCTGACATACAATACCAACACCCATAACTTAAAGGAGGAGAGGTTGATTTCTGGCTCATGTTTCAGTGCATAGTAGGCTGGCTCCAAGGCAGAATGGCATGGCAGAGGGGTGTGGGGGAGGAAAAGCTGCTCACTTCATGGCAGTCAGGAAGCAGAGAGCAAAAGGAGCAGCCAGGAAGGGACCTACATGCTTCCAGGTCACACCCCCAGTGATCTGCCTCTTCAGACTCTTACTTCCCCATAGTAAGTCAGCCACACCACCCCCACAATCCAGTCTCCTCCCAAAGGCCTCTCCTCTGAGCTCATGAGGTTTTAGGGGGACACCTCAGATCTACACTATAGCACAACAAGCTTATGCATAAGGAGATGAGTTCGGATCACTACCCAGTTGGGTGACCCCCAGCACAACCCCGACACAGAACAGTTCCCTTTCTAGGAGCCGATGGTGGTAGTTACTGAGTACCTACTGAGTACCAGGCACAGCCTGTATCCAACACAGTACTTCTCTGGAGAGGTCCGTCTTGGGATTGAAACAGTCAACCCTTATCAGGGTTGAGGAGTCCGTGGTGTGAAGTGGAAATGGAGGGGCCCTCATCTCCTTGGAGGAGACTCTAAAAAACAGACTAGGGGCTGACCCGTGATAGTGTTTAAAGGGGCAAAGCAGCCCAGATGTGGAAAAAACAAAGCTCTCCCTGGTAGTGAGGCAGTCACCTGTAGGGTGATGCTATGGACTTGGACAACACCCGAGGGCTTAGGTGTTTGGGGAGTGATGTGCATCTCCAATCTCTTCTCCATGAAACTGAGCCCAGGTACAGGTCTGGTTGGGGCGACCAGTGCTGAGGCTGAGCTGGTCAGAACTCACACTGACCAGGTCTCCGCCTCGGAGGTCTCCTAGGCAGGTAGCAGCACCGCCCCTTCCAGCACAGGAAAGCCCAGGGCTAGACCCCATGTTGTGCCCTTGCATACTGTGGCCCAACACTCTGGAGAGGCACAGTGGCAGGCAGAGCCTAAACCCAGAGCTGTACTCAAGGTGAGGCTCAGTGGAGCAGAGCAGCCATCTGTGGGTGCAGCACTGGCGACATCAGGAAAGGGCCAGATGTCCAACAGGTACAAGCCACCCACCCACGGGTTCAGATTAGGGCGCAGCATAAAGGGTTGCATGGCCTCCAGCCCTGGCCACCTTTCTGACACCTTCTGGCACTCTAGGGTGAGGCATACACATAGGCAGGAAACAGATAGGAGGGATGTTTATCCACCTCTTCTCAGAAGCCTAAGACTGAATGTCCTCATCTGGAAAATGAGGGCGACACTATTTCATAGGGTGCTTTCGAGGGTCCCCGAGAAAGCAGTAAAGGATCTTGTGAATGCGCAGATCCTGGCCAGGATGAGCTCCTCAGTCCTGACCTCTCAGGTGCTAAGGCCAACATCATAGATGAGGCATTTGTCCGGTCAGATGGCCATGGACTGACCATGAGCTGCCTGAGGGCGACACTGCTGTGCTGCATAAAATAGCTGCTCCACAGACACCTGCTGAGTTGGGAGGGCCAGGAAGCCTCTCCCAGCTTCTTACCTTCATCAGTTCTTGGAGTTTGGGGTCACTGCGTGAGTTTGGATCCACCATCGTCCGCACTTCATTCTCCTCTTTAAAAAGAAAAAGCATTGAGAGGTGTGGCTGTTTGGGAAGGCACTGAGCTCATGCAAAGGGGCAAGAGGCAATTACCCAGCATGGTGTCCTCTGGGTCCAGCTCGAAGGGGATGGGGCTGAGGGGCAGGTTGATGGCGTTCATGCCCTCCTCCTGAAGCTCTGAGACTGAAAGACAAGGAAGGGCTGGTCATTTTCAGCCGACTGACCATGGGAGGCGGGTAGCACATGTGTTTGATACTGATATTGAGGAAAAGCCCCATCAAGGTCAGATAACATCTGCTACGCAGCCTGCAATCGATTCGTGGCTTCTCTGTGCTAAAAGGATCTAATGATTCTCTTAATCTTACCTCTTCTACCTGTCATTTTCCTGGCTTTCCTAAGAAATGGGAAAGTCTCACTTGGTCCTGGTGGCATACGCCTATAACCCCAGAACTCTGGGAGGCGGTGGCAGAAGGGTCTCAAGTTTGAACCTAGCCTGAGTAACTTAGTGAGACCCTGTTTCAAAACAAAACAACAAAAAAAGCTGTATCTGTTTATGAGGAATTGCCTAGAAAAGTTAGCAATCTGCTCTACTTAGAAGATCGACCAGAAGAAATATAGCAGTATGAGGAAGCAGGTATACTTAGCTGGAAAACAAATGCCATCTTTTCCTTCCAAAAATCACTGAAGCTTTGAAGTTGTCACCTATTGTCTGTGTTCTTGTGGACAAGAATTCTGCAGAACGCTGGATGTCTGCGAACTTGGAGATTGGAGACAGTCCCTGGGTGATGTCCCATATGACTGTCAAGGGCTTGCTGTAAGGGAGTGAACACTAGTGTCTGCTTTCCCCTCTCTGTTAGGCAGCCTCATTCCCTATCCAACTGCAACTATCAGTGTCTGCTGATATGAAAGAACTCTTTGTAAGTGGCTGCCTTGTGCTTAAGAGTTCTTGCAAACCTATGCTGGCAATCACAGAGGCCAGAGTCAATAAAATGAAAAAAATTAAATGGAAAGATGGGCCGTTGCTTTTATTAATGTCGGTGGCAGCTGCCATATTAGCTCCTTAAGAACCTCTTGGTGACCAACGCTTTCAGCGAAAATGGTCTTTCTGTGTTTAATTGGTGAAAAGTAAGGGGCTGGGAGTTGGCTCTCAGGAGGGGTAATCCGAGGTCAGCAATCAGCTGGTGCCCATCTCACAGTGGGGTGGGTGGGGGAGATTTTTTAACAGCGCTCCTTGTGGGTGGGTGCTTGTGGAAGAACAGGCTGCACAGTCTTGAGTGATCATTGACCCTTTGCAACATTTCTTGAAGAAAATGGAATTGTATATTTCTAGGATTTGAAAAGTGTATCTGGTCATCCACGGGGACTTCATTTTCAGCAGAGGAAACAAACTGGAGAGGGGATCTCACCTGGCCCCAGGTCCCACAACTGTGAGGGCTCACTGGCCTGCACCAGAGCCCAGAGAAAGGATGGGACAGAGGGATCCTGATGCAGTCCCTGACCTAGGGTCCAGAGGGGCACAGGGAAGCCAGGACAGAAGTGAACTGAGGGTGGCAAAGCTCACATTCAACCCAGCCTGAACTTGGTGACCTTGTTCATCCCATCAGGAAGCGGTCACTGGACGCCTACCTCACTTCTGTTCACCCTGAAATCTCCCCTGAGAGGAGGCAGATTTCTGTACTGGCAAGATTTCCATATATATAATTTTTGTTTTTCCTGCACTGGGGCTTATTGTACCCAGGGACACATGTACACCATGCCCAGGGACTCACAATTGTGCAGGCAATGGGCAATGGAAATGAAGTTGTGCTTAAATACGAATGCAAGGCTGAGGCCCTAGCTGGGGAAAAAGCTTGTGCTTGCCCAGGACCTCCTCTCTAGCTACGTTCTCCCTGCAGGTCTGTGCTGTCTTATGTAGTAGCCACTAGCCACTTGTGCTGCTTAAGTTTCAGTGAAATAGATACTCAGTTCCTTAGCTGCACCTAGTACCTTTTAAGTGCTCAGTGGCCGCTATGCGGTTGGTGCCTACTGCCCTAGACAGGTATGGAATACTTCCCACATCACAGAAAGTTCAGGTGAATGGTGTGGTCCAAGGGAAGCCCATTTATCTAAATGCTGAGGATGTCCACATTTAAAACTTCAGTCCAGGCCTGACCCTGAGTTCCAGGCTCATGAATTTAACTGCTCACTCAGTCTCAAAAGGTTTCAAAACAGAACCCTCATACCACCAGACAGCACAAAAGCAAACTTGTTCTCTCCCACTCTAACCTCCAAGATGGGACCACTGCTTGCACAATGGCGCAAGCCAAAAATCCAAGGGATCATCAGGTTCTCCCTTTTCCTGACCTTTCACATGTAATGTATCGACAAGTTCCCTAGGTGCCACCTCTAAACCAAGATCTGACCGCCTCTACTCCTGCCTGACCACCGTCTTGGTTCAGACCTCCAGTATATTTCACCTGGACCACCAGAACCACTGCCTCCCGGGCCTACCACTTTCTCTCGAGTTTCCCTACCTACTCGCTACAGTGTGAATAAGATGCAAACAGAATCACACGTTCTCCTGCTTTCAACTTTGCTGTGGTTTTTCATCACACTCACAATAAACCCCGACTCTGTACTGTGACTTATAAGACGCTCTGATTACCCTTCTGCCTCCCTTTCATGTTTTCTTTTCTTTTCTTTTTTTTTTTTGGTACCAGGGATTGAACTTGAGTCCTTACACTTGAGAGGCAGGTGGTGGAACCACTGAGCTAAATCCCCAGGCCTATGTTTTATTTTCTTGATAGGTCTCATCACAATTTGAAATAATTATTGTTGGTATGTCTGTCATCTATTTCCCCACATCAGAAGGTAAGCTGGATAAGTACTGGTACTTTTAAAAAATCTTTTGAGACAGGGTTTTGCTAGGTAGTGCAGGCTGGCTCTGAACTTGTGATGATCCTCCTGCCTCAGCCTCCTGAGTGGAAGAAGGACTGGTACTTTTTATCTTCTATTCACTATTAGATCTCAAGGAGGCCATATGGTATAGTGGCTAGGAGCCAAATGGCCTAGATTCAAATCCAGGATCTGTCACTTATTAGCCAAGTGACCCTAGGCAAATTCACCATTCTCTTGTGCCTCAGTTTCCCCATTTACATAAAGGCAGTGATAATAACACTGCCAACCTCCAAGGGTTGCTAAGAAGATTTAATGAGTTAACCTATGCATTCATAAGAGGGCCTGGTACCTGGTCAGTGCTACGTAAATTTATGCTGCTGTTATTATAACTGGCTATTATTACATAATACCTTGAGCATAGTGCACATTGGACAAATATTTGCTGAATAAATAATCAGCATGTTAAGACCACTCTTCATTGGCACAGGTTATATGTAGAGGCAGAATTTGCCACAGTGGTTTACATGACGGAAAGGCTTTCACTTTGTGCCCAGGGGAAAAAATACATTTACTTTTTAGACCAACCCTGTGTGCACACGGACGTATCTGGGGCAGCATTTCCAGCTTACATTTTGTAAGAGAAGAAAAGCTGCATCTGGCCCAAGCTTGTTGGCCAGCCAGAACCAATCTGCAAATATAAAGAAAGTATTTAAACATCTCTTTAAGCATGATGAGGAAAGCAATATTCACAGCCAGGATTCCTAAAGGTGGATCTGAATGGAATCTCCTTTTACATGGAGATCATCGTTAAAAACGTTTTCAGATGAAAAAATCTGTAGTCAGGAGCCCTCCCTTTGCCTTGCCTCTTTAATTCACTCCCAGAGACATAACAAACCCGAGAAGAAAGGCTAAGATATGTTTGCAATTGGACATGTTTCTTCAGGAAATGATTTGGTACAGGAACATCATTCCCATTCCATTAAGTGCTGACTCGGAGCCAACTGTTTGTAAAACTGAATATGCAAACTGCCCGGTTCAGGCTCGGCCCCGCCCCACGGGGCCCCATTAGCGGCCCCTTTCCCAAGCCAGCCTACTTGGTTTGGAGGCTTCGTTTCTATTAAACCCCAGCAAGGCCCAGCAGAAGCCCTTACCAATCCCTGTGCTCAGAAGGACAAAGAGCTGCGGCTGAATTTTCCTCCGCACAGAATCTGAACCTCCTCTAACAACCTAAAACTGGGTCTGAATATGCAGCCCTCGGGGTCTTGCAGCGCCTTTAGTTATAACTTAATAAACAGCTCAAATGTCCGACGCAAGGTTGGCTCGGGCAGGAGGGAGACTGTCTCAACTCCTGAAGCCAGCACTGGCTTTTATTTTCTGACGCTGGGTCCAGCCATGCAACAGAAAGTACGCACATAGGTTTAGCAGTGTGAAAGACCTGATTCTGAATTTATAGGACTTTATGTGACTTAACCTCCCTGAAATTCGGTATGAAACAATTCTCCTAACAAAAGCTTAGCTGAGACTGGTGGTTTCCTGCCCAATGATTACTCTCTCTATTAAAAGAATCCTTATTTTATTTCAGTATTTGTTCTCCCCTCCTACGTCACAAGGTGAGATTCTGATTGGTTTAACCAACCATGATCTCAATTCCTATAGCAATGACTGGCTCATGCCCTGTTGTGCGATACAATCCCAGCCTGTGAGTGGTGACAAAAATTTTAGAAGTTTTTATGAATAGGTTTCCTCCATTTTAAAGAGAGGCCCAAGAAAGAGAAGGTATTTTTCCTCTTCTAATCATTATTGTATCAAGATGTTATGAGTAGATTTGCTGCAGCCATTTTATAGCTATGAGGTGCACTGGAAGAAGAAAATAAATATGTTAAGATCGGCACAGAGGAAGGAAGGAAGGGGGTTTTTGTTGATACTGTTTAGCTATCCCCGTTCTACAGGTCTCATTAGAGAAGATGAATAAATTCCTTATTGTTTAAGACAGAAGAGGAGGTGTTTTCTGGGACTTGAAGCTTGGATCTCCATAATTGATACATGGATTATAAAACTGACGGGCAAACAGGATAGGTTTGCAATGAGATATTCCTTCTGGAAAAGAGAGGAGTGGCGATTAAGATCCTTTACACTCTAGGCTACAGCTTGAGACTCCAAGAACAACAGGGTAGAAACAAGTATGGGAAGAAGAAAGGAGGAGGAGGAGGAGGAGGGGGAGGAGGAGAAATAACATAGAAGGTCTTCCGATCCAAGTGATTCAAGTTAATTTCATTAGATTATCCTCTCACACTGGGCACAAATAA